CTGGAGTACAGTGGTGCGATCTTGGCTCACCGCAACCTCTGCCTCCCAGGTTCAAGCAGTTCTGCCTCAGCTTCCCAAGTAGCTAGGATTACAGGTGCCTGCCACAACACCTGGCTACATTTTTTATTTTTATTTTTAGTAGAGACGGGGTTTCACCATGTTGACCAGGCTGGTCTTGAACTCCTGATCTGAGGTGATTTGCCCACCTTGGTCTCCCAAAGTGCTGGGATTACAGGTGTGAGCCACCGTGCCTGGTCTGTTCTTTTTTAAAAAAATAAATAGGCCAGGCATGGTTGCCCACACCTGTAATCCAAGCACTTTGGAGGCCAAGGCAGGCGGATCACCTGAGGTTGAGAGTTCAAGACCAGCCTGACCAACATGGTGAAACCCCGTCTTTAAATAAACAAATAAATAAAGGAATGAATGAAACAACATAGAATTTGGAGTAGGAAATAGCTACTGCTTCTGCCACTGACTGGTGTTACTGTGTACAAGTTACTTGCTCTTAATCTCAGTATTTTCATCTTTAAAATGAGGATAATAATGACTACATGATAAAATTGTTAAATGAGATAAAATGTATATAAAAAATTCTTAGTAAAAGATCTGGAATCTATGAGAAGCTTCTTGTATTTTAGTTTTCTTTCAATTTTTGAGACAGGGATCTCACCCTGGAACCCAGGCTGGAGTGCAGTGGCATGATTTTGGCTCACTGCAGCTTCTATTTCTTTTTTTTTTTTTTTTTTTGAGATTGAGTCTCACACTGTCGCCCAGGCTGTAGTGCAGTGGCATGATCTTGGCTCACTGCAGTCTCCACCTCCTGAGTTCAAGCAGTTCTCCTGCCTCAGCCTTCTGTGTAGCTGGGACTACAGGCATGTGTTACCACGCCCAGCTAATTTTTTTGTATTTTTAGTAGAGACAGGGTTTTACTATGTTGGCCAGGATGGTCTCAATCTCTTGATCTCGTGATCTGCCTGCCTTGGCCTCCCAAAATGCTGAGATTACAGGTGTGAGCCACCACACCCAGCCTCAGCTTCTATTTCTAAGGCTCAAATGATCTCCCTACCTCAGCCTCCTGAGTGGCTGGGAACACAGACCTGCACCACCATACATGGCTATGTATTTTAGTTTTCTTTCTTCCTTTTTTTGTCAACAAATAATACGCTAACAAAGAACAAAAAAGAAACAAGAACACATAAGGTGGCTAGGCACAGTGGCTCACGCCTGTAATCCCAGCACTTTGGGAGGCTGAGGCAGGTGGATCACCAGAGGTCAGAAGTTTGAGACCAGCCTGGCCACATGGTGAAACACGTCTGTACCAAAAAATACAAAAATTAGCCAGATGTGGTGGTGGGCACCTGTAGTCCCAGCTACTATGGAGGTTAAGGCATGAGAATTGCTTGAACCTGGGAGGTGGAGGTTGCTATGAGTTGAGATTGTGCCACTACACTCCATCCAGCCTGGGTAACACAGTGAGACCCTGTCTCAAAAAATTTTAAAAAACACATAAGGCAAATTTGCTAAGCAAAAAGCCTTTCAGATATAACCTAGTCCAACAATTCTCAAATCTGGGGAAGCTTTAAGACAATTGATTCCGAGGTGCTACACTAAATTTATTAAATCTCTGGATGGAGCCTAAGAATTTGTATTTTGTGTTTTTGAAACAGTCTCACTCTGTCACCCAGGCTGGAGTGCAGTGATGTGATCATAGCAGCCTCAAACTCCTGGACTCAAGTGATCCTCCCAACTTAGCCTCCGGAGTAGCTAACTACAGGTGTGTGCCACAACACCTGGCTAATTTAAACAAACAAAAAAAAGAATTTTTAGAGGCAGGGTGCGGTGGCTCAATACTGTAACGCTAGAACTCTGGGAGGCAGAGAAAGGAGGATTACCTGAGCTTAGGAGTTTGAGATCAGCCTGGGGAACATGGTAAAACCCTGTCTCTACCAAAAATATAAAAAATTAGCCAGGCATGGTAGTGCACACCTGTAGCCCCAGCTACTTGGGAAGCTGAGGCATGAGAATCGCTTGAACCTGGGAGGCAGAGGTTGCAGTGAGCTGAGATCGCACCATTGCACTCCAGCCTGGGCAACAGAGCGAGACTCTCCCTCAAAACAAAACAAAACAAAACAAACAAAATTTTTTGTAGAGACGGGGTACTATGTTGCCCAGTCTAGTCTTGAAACTTCTAGCGTAAAGTGATCTTCCCGCATTGGCCTCCCAAAGTGCTGGGATTATAGGCCTGTGCCAGGTTTTTAATTTTTTTTTTTTTTTTTTTTGAGTTGGAGTTTCGCTCTTGTTGCCCAGGCTGGAGTGCAATGGCGCAATCTCGGCTCACTGCAACCTCTGCCTCCTGGGTTCAGGCAATTCTCCTGCCTCAGCCTCCTGAGTAGCTGGGATTACAGGCACGCACCATCATGCTCAGCTAATTTTTTGTATTTTTAGTAGAGACGGGGTTTCACCATTTTGACCAGGATGGTCTCGATCTCTTGACCTCGTGATCCACCCGCCTCGGCCCCCCAAAGTGCTGGGATTACAGGCTTGAGCCACTGCACCAGGCCAGAGTTTGTATTTTTAAAACTAGAAAGACAGTAGTGACTAGGATAAGCCTACTTTAAAAGCTTAGTCTAGGGGACTAAGGTGCAGCGGGGAAGTGGTAGAGATGATGGAGTCTGTGTGGGAGGGGGAGGCAGAAGCCATGAGGGGGCTCCTCCAGGGCAGGGGTGGCACAAGAGGGATAGAGGTCACCGGGGGCAGCCCCTTGCAGGGGTGACCCTCCTTGCTACTCCTCCAGGACTCGGCGCCTTCCTCAAGAATGCTTGGGCCAAGGAGCCAGTACTGGTCGTGTCCTTCTTCATCTTGCTGTAATTCTGCCCCAGTCAGCCCCTACTTCAAGTACTCTGTCATGATCAACAAGGCCATATCCTACAACTTCCCAGTGCCGGTCTGCCATGATGGGAACATGCCTGACATACCCAGTCACCCCCAGGACCCCCAGGGGCCCAGCCTAGAGTGGCTGAAGAACCTGTGAGCACCTCCACTGACCAAGGTGGGCCCTCTCCCGGCTCCCAATAAAAATGTGAAAACCAAAAAAAAAGGGCCGGGCGCGGTGGCTCACACCTGTAATCCCAGCACTTTGGGAGGCCGAGGCGGGTGGATCACGAGGTCAAGAGATCGAGACCATCCTGGTCAACATGGTGAAACCCCGTCTCTACTAAAAACTACAAAAAATTAGCTGGGCATGGTGGCGCGTGCCTGTAATCCCAGCTACTCAGGAGGCTGAGGCAGGAGAATTGCCTGAACACAGGAGGCGGAGGTTGCGGTGAGCCGAGATTGCGCCATTGCACTCCAGCCTGGGTAACAAGAGCGAAACTCCATCTCAAAAAAAAAAAAAAAAAAGCTTAGTCTAGATTGCTAATTCAAAGGGATAAATGAATTGAGGGAAAATGAGAAAGATAGGAACAATCACTAAAACCATAAAGAGATTCCTGACCTTTAAGATTGACACCATTTCTGCCAGTGGTGATGAAAAGCTTGAATACAGTTGAATTGACGGTATTGGTGAGATAAGTGTTGAGGTCATAATTAAGCATTAATCTTGATGATGCATTGACCACCACCTGTCAGTAAATCAAAGGAAGATCTGCACCTCCTTTCCTAGAGAATCTGATTCCTTCCAGATCCACCCCTCATAACTTATTTAACCAAAAGTATCTGTTTCACACAAGTACAAATTGCCCATCGCATGACCACGTATTTGAGAACAACAAAATCTGCCTTTGAAAACAAAATAACTTTTTTTTTTGAGACAGGGTCTTGCTTTGTCATCAGGCTAGAGTGCAGTGGCATGATCATGGCTCACTGAAGCTTCAAATTCCTAGGCTCAAGCAATCCTCTTGCCTCAGCCTCTAGAGCAGCTGTGACTACAGGTATACGTCACCATGCCTGGCCAAAAAAAGACAGGGTCTCACTATGTTGCCCAGCATGGTCTCAAACTCCTGGCCTCAAGCCATCCCTCCACCTTGGCCTTCCAAAGTGCTGAGATTACAGCATAAGTTACCATGCCAAGCCCAAAATGACATTTTTTCTAGAAGGAAGTCTTGGGTCCAATTATTCCTTCAGACATATCTTCCCTTTGTATGATTCCCTATTAAAATGTCTTTGAGGCCAGGAGAGGTGGCGCACACCTGTAATCCCAGCACTCTGGGAGGCTGAGGGGGTGGATTACTTGAGGTCAGGAGTTTGAGACCAGCCTGGCCAACATGGGAAAACCTGTTTCTACTAAAAATACAAAAATTAGCCAGGCATGGTGGCACATGCCTGTAATCCCAGCACTTTGGGAGGCCAAGGCAGGCGGATCACCTGAGGTCGGAAGTTCAAGACCAGCCTGATCAACACAGAGAAACCCTGTTTCTACAAAAAATACAAAAAAAAAAAAAAATTAGCTGGGCATGGAGGCACATGCCTGTAATCCCTGCTACTCAGGAGGCTGAGGCAGGAGAATTACTTGAACCTGGGAGGTGGAGGTTGCAGTGAGCTGAGATCATGCCATTGCATTCCAGCCCGGGCAACAAGAACAAACCTCGATCTCAAAAAAGAAAAACACAAAAAAAGCCCGTGAGGACTGTTGAGCACTGTTTAGCTTTATCCTGCAATAAAGTTTGCTGGCTGGCTTTATATCTGTTTTATGAGTGTATTTCCTTTCCTAGGATGTATTTTCTATATGCATATCCTCATATGGGCAATAGTGATCCTAGTCTCTCATACTCTGGTACAGTTATGTTTACTTCTCGATATGTTTTCACTACTCCTGGGATGTCATGAAAAATCATTGCAGTCCCTGGACTCCTGGCCACTCCTACTCCAGTGATAATGTCCGTCTGTAGAATATTGTCAGCAGAAATCATCCACATCCCAGGTTCACCTAGAAAAGACAAAAGAAAGCGCTTGGCTGGAGGCTTTGATAAAATCACTCTAGCCTTATTCATACCTGAAATCAGTAAACTTTTTAAGAATGCAGATATCACTGGGCGCGGTGGCTCAAGCCTGTAATCCCAGCACTTTGGGAGGCCGAGGCGGGTGGATCACGAGGTCAAGAGATCGAGACCATCCTGGTCAACATGGTGAAACCCCGTCTCTACTAAAAATACAAAACATTAGCTGGGCATGGTGGTGCGTGCCTGTAATCCCAGCTACTCAGGAGGCTGAGGCAGGAGAATTGCCTGAACCCAGGAGGTGGAGGTTGCGGTGAGCCGAGATCGTGCCATTGCACTCCAGCCTGGGTAACAAGAGCGAAACTCCGTCTCAAAAAAAAAAAAAAAAAAAAAAAAAAGAATGCAGATATCTCTTCCCAGTAGAATCAGCCAGCTTTGAAGATAACTGTTTTCTCAGTGTTTTCCTCTTCATATATCATGCCAGCAAAATAAAGAATCATAAGAAGAGCTACTTAATTGGAGAATGCAACTGTTCTCCTAAGGAAAAAGAAAAGCTCTTTTTACACACAGGGATAACTTCTGAATAAATTTTGTTTAGATGCTGCTAAGGACAAATCTGATTGATGCCAGCAGGAAGACTGCAACGAAGTGACCACTAGCAAGAGAAAGGATTTATTTTGGCTTAAGTCTCAAGATGGCAGAGGAATGCCAAAAACTGGATTAGATTTTGTACTTAGCCTGCGGTATTACTGATCCTGGCATATGGCCCTTTGCTTCATCATATGATGAAAGCTCCCAAAATTCCAGATTGGAAGACTATGGGACAGTCCTGTCAAAACCTAGCTAAAAAGAGTGAAAAATAGGCTGGGTGTGGTGGCTCACACCTGTAATCCCAGCAGTTTGGGAGGCTGAGGTGGGTGGATCACCTGAGATCAGGAGTTCAAGACCAGCCTGACCAACATGGCAAAACCCTGTCTCTACTAAAAATACAAAAATTAGCCGGGTGTGGTGGTGCATGCCTGTAATTCCAGCTGCTTGAGAGGCTGAGGCAGGAGAATCACTTGAACCTAGGAGGTGGAGGTTGCAGGGTTGCAGTGAGCCGAGATCATACCATTGCACTCCAGCCTGGGCAACAAGAGCAAAACTCCATCTCAAAAAAAAAAAAAAGTTAAAAAATACTCTGCTTCATTGATAAGGGATTTATAATCAGGGGATTGTAACTCTCATTGTCAACCTTAAAGTAGCTTTAGCTCACTGGTCCTGGATTGCATGTTGGTAGTGGTTGTTTGCAAATCAGCTGTTATAGATTGGGGGATTCAGCTGAATACAGCCCCTTTGTATCAAGGTCCAAAATATGTAGTTAATGTTAAAGTCAGGTCCAACATTACATCATTTTACCTAAACATATGTATCCATAGTTACCAGAAGAGGCTGCAAAGCCAAAGCCATACACTACCACAAGCAGGACTTATTTGGATGTATACACCCAGGCAGTGTTCACCACTTTGGGATATGGTATTTGGAAACCCAAAGAATTCACACCCATTTCCTAACCAAAGACTGATTTCCTTTCCTTTTCTTTCTTTTTTTGTTTTTATTTTTTGAGACACAGCCTGTCATCCAGGCTGGAGTGCAGTGGTGTGATCACAGCTTTACTGCAGCCTTGATCTCCTGGGCTCAAGCAATCTTCCCACCTCAGTCTCCCAATAGTTGGGACCAGAGGCATATGCCACCACACTGGGCTAATTTAAAAAATAATTTTTTTTTGAGACGGAGTCTTGCTCTGTCACCCAGGCTGGAGTGCAGTGGCACGATCTTGGCTCACTGCAACCTCTGCCCCAGGTTCAAGCAATTCTCCTGTTTCAGCCTCCCGAATATCTGGCATTACAGGCATCTGCCACCACGCCTGGCTAATTTTTGTATTTTTAGTAGAGGCAGGGTTTCACCATGTTGGCCAAGCTGGTCTTAAGCTCCTGACCTCAAATAATCCACCCACCTTGGCCTCCCAAAGTGCTGGAATTACAGGCGTGAGCTACCACACCTGGCCCTAAATTTTTTTTTGTAGAGGCAGGGTTTCACTATGTTCCCCAGACTGGTCTTGAACTTCTGGGATCAAGTGAGCCTCCTGTCTCAGTTTCCCAAAGTGCTGGGATTACAGACATGAACATTGCACCTGGCCCCAAAGACTGATTTTCTATGATTTTATTATTATTATTATTTTGAGATGGAGTCTCGCTCTGTCACCCAGGCTGGAGTGCAGTGGCATGATCTTGGCTCACTGCAACCTCCGCCTCCCAGGTTCAAGTAAGTCTCTGCCTCAGCCTCCTGAGTAGCTGGGATTACAGGCGCCCACCACCATGCCTGGCTAATTTTTGTATTTTTAGTAGAGGTGGGGTTTCACCATGTTGATCAGGCAGGTCTTGAACTCCTGACCTCATGATCCACCCATTTTGGCCTCCCAAAGGGCTGGGAGGTGAATCACAGGTCAGGAGTTCAAGACCAGCCTGGCCAATATGGTGAAACCCTGTCTCTAAAAAAAAAAACAAATAGAGACAGAGTCTCACTCTGCATTTGCCCAGTCTGCACTTGCCGAGGCTGGAGTACAGTGGCTTAATCTCGGTTGACCGCAACCTCCACCTCCCGGGTTCAAGCAATTCTCCTGCCTCAGCCTCCTGAGTAACTGGGATTAGCATGCCCGGCTAATTTTGGTATTTTTAGTAGAGACAGGGTTTCACCATGCTGGCCAGGCTGGTCTCAAATTTCTGACTTCGTAATCTGATTGCCTCGGCCTCCGAAAGTGCTGGGATTACAGGTAGGAGCCACTGTACCCGGCCTTAATTTTTGTATTTTTAATAGAGATGGGGTTTCACAGTGTTGGCCAGGCTGGTTTCGAACTCCTGACCTCAAGTAATTTGCCCACTTTGTCCTCCCAAGTGATTTTCTATGATTTAATTTAATTTAATTTTTTTTTTTTTGGGAAACCACATCTTTTATTACATTAATTGATTAATTTTTTTTTTTTTTTTTGAGATGGAGTCTCACTCTGCCGCCAGGCTGGAGTGCAGTGTCGCGATCTTGGCTCACTGCAACGTCCCCCTCCCAGATCAGGAGATTCTCCTGCCTCAGCTTCCCAAGTAGCTGGGACTACAGGCGTGTGCCACCACAACCAGCTAAATTTTGTATTTTTAGTAAGATGGGGTTTCACCATGTTGACCAGGATGGTCTCCATCTCTTGACCTTGTGATCCACCCGCCTCAGCCTCCCAAAGTGTTTGGATTACAGGTGTGAGCCACTGCAACCGGCTTACTTTATTTTTTTGAGACGGAATCTCACTCTGTCGCCAGGCTGGAGTGTAGTGACGTGATCTTGGCTCACTGCAACCTCTACCTCCCAGGTTCAAGCGATCCTGCTGCCTCAGCCTCCTGAGTAGATGGTACTACAGGGGTACCACCACGCCCAGCTAATTTTTGTATTTTTAGTAGAGACGAGGTTTCACCATGTTGGCCAGGATGGTCTTGATCTCCTGATCTTGTAATCCGCCCACCTTGGCCTCCCAAAGTGCTGGGATTACAGATGTGAGCAACTGAGCCTGGCTAATGATTTTATTTTTAACTCAGTACTTAGGACAGAAGTGCTGTGTTGATCAAGAATATAGTTGGCTGGGCACCAACCCCTTGTATAAAAAATACAAAAATTAGCCAGGCATCGTGGTGCATGCCTGTAATCCCAGCTACTTGGGAGGCTAAGGCAGAAGAATCGCTTGAACCTGGGAGGCAGAGGTTGCAGTGAGCTGAGATTGTGCCACTGCACTCCAGCCTGGGAGACAGAGCAAGACTCTGTCTTTTAAAAAAGAAGAGTATAGTTTAGCCAGGTACAAGAAAAAACCTTATTACAATGATACGTTAGGAGTTAGGCCTTGAAATGTGCCTCATAAAATAGCATATACATAACTAGTTCTTAGAACTGAAGACTTATTGCCCTTTCCTTCCTTTTATCCTTTACTGTTTTTCAATATAATAATTACCCTCCTCCAAAAGCTGGGAATGAAGGAGAAGATACAGTACCCTGCAGTATCTACATAATATAAAATAGAGCTATGTAACTAATAGACTCTTGATAAATATTACTGGCTGGCTTCTAATTGGCTGGCTACTGAGTGAGACAGTGATGAAGCTAAAAATTATCAGTTAACATTATAAATAACAAAATACTCAAGAGTATTTTCTTCCTCAGAGAGGCCCTCAGATTTTAGATAATTTGGAAAAAAATATTCTAGGGCATTAATTGCTTTCTTGACCTTCTGGCCTTAATTGACCTCTTCAGCTCAGCCTCCCCAAAGGGCTGAGATTATGGGTATAAACTACCATACCAGGCCAAAGGATAATAACTGCTTTCTAATCCCCACAGCTTTCAGTTGTAAGGTTGAGAAAGGGAATGTGTACATACCATGCTGGGTGACAAGGTGAGTACTGAAGCAGATGACATCTCCAACAAAGGTAAGCTTGGTGTCTGGCTCAATGGCATGCTCTACAGCAACAGGAATATAATCTGCCATGCCTGGGTGTCTCTGGTCCCAAATCCTCACAAGTGTCAGCCCTCTGTTCACAGCCTGGGCCATGTAAGTATAGTTCTTATTCCCTGGTCCAATAAGCAGCAAATCATCTCTGCAAGTAGACATTAAAGTTACAAATCTCTAAAAAGAGACAATAGCTGGAAAATAGTTCTGGGGAACACCCTATCACATTTTATATTCAACAGCTCAAAAGTTCAGCAGGAATTCCACAATAAAGAGTAAGTAAGTAAGCCAGGCGTGGTGGCTCACACCTGTAATCCCAGCACTTTGGGAAGCCAAGGCGGGTGGATCACGAGGTCAAGAGATCGAGACAATCCTGGCCAACATGATGAAACCTGTCTCTACTAAAAATACAAAAAAATTAGCTGGGTGTGGTGGTGCATGCCTGTAGTCCCAGCTACTCGGGAGGCTGAGGCAGGAGAATTGCTTGAACCTAGGAGGCGGAGGTTGCAGTGAGCCGAGACAGCACCACTGCACTCCAGCCTGGCTCCTGGCAATGGAGCAAGACTCTGTTTCAAAAAAAAAAAAAAGAGTAAGTATAGACCAAGAATCAGTCTATTACCTTCATTGTGCCCAGGAAGGCTTTTTTCCAGTAAAGCCTTTAGATAATAATACTCCAGTTAGCCCCCTGTGGATCTTTTAGTGAACTAGGTAGGACTGGACAGATTTAAGATATCCTGAAATTTTTCTTAATTGACAACTAATACCATTGTCTAAGTCTGTTTTTTTTTTTTTTTCAGATAAAGTCTTAATTGATCACCCAGGTTGGAGTGCAGTGGCATAATCTCAGCTCACTCTAACCTCTGCCGTTTGGCCTCAAGTGATCCTCCCACCTCAACCTCCCTAGTAGCTGGGACTACAGGCACATGCTACCACACCCAGCTAATTTTTGTATTTTTTTAGAGATGGGGTTCCACCATGTTGTCCAGGCCGGTCGCAAACTCCTGGGCCCAAGTGATCCTCTCTCCTCAGCCTCCCAAAGTGCTGGGATTATAGGTGTGAGCCACCCACCTGGCCTCACTTTAAAAAAAAATTTGGCCAAGGCGGGCTGATCACCTAAGGTTGGGAGTTCAAGACCAGCCTGACCAACATGGTGAACCCCTGTCTTAAAAAAAAAAAATAAAATTAAAAAAATTTTTAACCATCTTGACCAACATGGTGAAACCCTGTATCTACTAAAAATACAAAAATTAGCTGGGCACGGTGGCATGTGGCTCTAATTCCAGCTACTCAGGAGGGTGAGGCAGGAGAATCACTTGAACCCGGGAGGTAGAGGTTGTGGTGAGCCAAGATCGTGCCACTGCACTCCAGCCTGGATGACAGAGCAAGACTCTGTCTAAAAAAAATTTTTTATTTTTTTTACAAAAGAAAGATCAAATTTCAAATTCAGAATGCAAGAGGAATTTACTGGAGCTGCTATACAATACTAGTCTAATCTGCAAGATTTCTACCATAGTGTCAATAACATTCCTTTGACTTCCATACCTGTTCAGAGCCAGATAAAGCTGGGTATTGTGTGTGTGGAATTTCTCTCCAATGCTATTATAAAACTGAACAGTGAAGGTTAGAGACATGCCCAGGGGAAATGCTGACAGGATCCTTCCTTGGGCCGTGTATAGCTTGGGTTGGCTGCTCACTCGCAGGTATGTCACCGGTGCTACCTGTGGGAGATAAAACCTACTGGTACAGAGAAAGATGCACTGGAGAAGTGCCACGACCATATTCTGAGACTTATAATCAATGATAAAGAGTCATGTTTCTCTTCCATATGAAATAGCTTTTGATGTGAGATGACTTAAATCAGAGTGAAAAGAAATATGACAGTATAGGAAATGTTTTTTGTTTGTTTTTGAGACAGAATCTCACTTTCTCACCCAGGCTGGAGTACAGTGACATGATTTCAACTCACTGCAACTTCTGCCTCCCAGGTTCAAGTGATTCTCCTGCCTCAGCCTCCTAGGTAGCTGGGATTACAGGCACCTGCCACCACACCTAGCTTTTTTTGTATTTTTTGTAGAGACAGGGTTTCACCATGTTGGCTAGGCTGGTCTAAACTCCTGACCTCAAGCGATCTGCCCACCTTGGCCTCCCAAAGTGTGGGATTACAGGCATGAGCCACTGTGCCTGGCTTGAAATGGGTTTTTAAATTTTTTTTTTTCTATTTTCTTTTTTTTTTTTTTTTTGAGACGGAGTTTCGCTCTTGTTACCCAGGCTGGAGTGCAATGGCGCGATCTCGGCTCATCGCAACCTCCACCTCCTGGGTTCAGGCAATTCTCCTGCCTCAGCCTCCTGAGTAGCTGGCATTACAGGCACGCGCCACCATGCCCAGCTAATTTTTTGTATTTTCGGTAGAGACGGGGTTTCACCATGTTGACCAGGATGGTCTCGATCTCTTGACTTCGTGATCCACCCGCCTCGGCCTCCCAAAGTGCTGGGATTACAGGCTTGAGCCACCGTGCCCGGCCCCTATTTTCTTAATTAAAAAAAAATTTTTTTAAAGACGGGGTTTCACCATGTTGGTCAGGCTGGTCTTGAACTTCCGACCTCAGGTGATCTGCCCACCTTGGCCTCCAAAGTGCTTGGATTACAGGTGTGAGCCACAACGCCTGGCCTTAAATTTTTTTTTTTTTTTGAGACAAAGTCTCGCTCTGTCATCCAGGTTGGAGTTCAATGGCTTGATCTCAGCTCAGTGCACCCTCTGCCTCCTGGGTTCAAGAAATTCTCTGCCTCAGCCTCCTGAGTAGCTAAGATTACAGGCACCCACCAAGCCTGGCTAATTTTTTTTTTTTTGTATTTTTAGTAGAGATGGGATTCTACCATCTTGGCCAGGTTGGTCTTGAACTCCTGACCTTGTGAGCCACCAATCTTGGCCTCCCAAAGTGCTGGGATTATAGGCCTGTGCCAGGTTTTTAATTTTTAAAGCTGTGGGAATGTGAAGAGAAGCTGGAGCTTTATGAGAAAAGGACTGTAATTGATCCATTTCTTGCAGAGTGCTCAATATTTATAGTTAAATAATCGATTACTTATCAGGAACACAATCTATATTGTGTTTTCACATTGTAAGAGGGCTGCGATACAGTAAGTGAAGTTCAGCTTTGAATCATAGCTTTGTTATTTCATAGCCTCATGTAACTTTTCTGGGTCTCAGGTTTCTTATCAGTTAACTTAGATGGGGATAATAACGCCCCTACCTCAGGGCTTTTGTGGTAGTTAAAAGAGATAATATACATAAAACAACCAACATAGTATATAGTAGATGTTTAATGCCTAAATTTTTGTGTGTGTGTTAAGACTAACATCTCTGAGGTCTTTTCTCAGTTTTTTAACTCTAGCAGCAAAGCTTAATTTTTAAAAAAGAGACATATTCTTGCTTTGTTTTCTAGGCTGCAGTGCAGCAGTGCAGTCATAGCATACTGCAACCTCAAACTCCTGGGTTCATGCGATCCTCCACCTCAGTCTCCTAAGCAGCCAGGACTGCAGGCATGTGCCACCAAGTCTGGCTAATTTTTTTCATTTCTTTTTGTAGAGCTGGGGGGGGGTTTCATTATTTTGCTCAGGCTGGTCTCAAATTCCTGGCCTTAAGTGATTCTCTTGCCTCAGCCTCCCAAAGTGCTAGGATTATAGATGTGAGGCACCAAGCCCAGCCAATTTTGATAGCAATCCTTCTACACTCCTCTGACACCAACCCTTTTGCCAAAGCTGCTAGGAAGACAATCATATAAATGTAGGCTGATCTGTTTTATAACAAAGGCTTTAAAGTCCATTTTAATTTTATGGCTTATAACCATGTTAAGACTGACCTCTTATCTTTTTTTTTTTGAGATGGAGTCTCACACTGTTGCCCAGGCTATAGTGCAGTGGCTGGATCTCAGCTAACTGCAATCTCCACCTCCTGAGTTCAAGCAATTCTCCTGCCTCAGCCTCCCGAGTAGCTGGGACTACAGATGTACACCATCATGCCCAGCTAATTTTTTTGTATTTTTAGTAGAGAGGGAGTTTCATCATGTTGGCCAGGATCGTCTTGATTTCCTGACCTTGTGATCTGCCTGCCTCAGCCTCCCAAAGTACTGGGATTACAGGCGTGAGCCACGGCGCCTGGCCTGGCCTCTTACCTTACAGGTTTATTTCTGACCCTTAGAGAAGTTTCTTCCTCTTTTTTTTTTTTTTTTTTTTTTTTG